TAAAATGTACCAATAAAATACAAATAAATGAAAGAATGGTCTGGAAAAGTTATCCTCAAGAAGGGGATATTTAGGTGGAGACCAAAAGGATGAAAAGCAAGGGGCCAGGGAAATAGCTCGGTGGTAGAGCTCACCTAACTGCAGTACCCAATTAGCAGTCTCCAGCACCAAAAGATACATACATTAAAACTGTGGTGTTTTCAAGACTGAAAGGAAACTAAATCCTTGAGGTGGTGAGCAAAGGGAGGAGGTGATGAGGGCAGACCGGGTAAGGTCAGATGAGGCAACAGATAGGAGGAAAACAAGCAGGTGGGAGGTGACAGAGGTTTATACACTAGGAATGACTTAATGTCACCTGGGTTTTAAACTGCTCATTTTGCTTTGAAGAAATATGTTTAGAAAGGAACAAAAAGGGCCAGTTAGGCTGCCGCATGCCTGTAATCCCAGCACTCAGGAGGCTGAGGCAGGGGGATCACCCAGAGCTCAAGGCCAGCCTGGGCTACTCAGTGAGTTCAAGGACAGCCTGAAGTACATAACAAGACCTTGTTAAAAACAAAAGAGGGGGCTGGTGAGATGGCTCAGTGGTCTAAAGCACCTACTTGGAACAAGCTTGACAAAGCACAGGGACCGCGGTTCAATCCCCCAGCACCACATGCCAGCCAGCCCCGCCCCCTGGTGGGCTGAGCTGGTCACATACACACATACACACACACACACTAAATAAATAAATAAATAAATGTTTAAAAAAAAAAAAAGAGGGAAAAATGACAAAAAGTGTAAGCACAAGGGTCTTCCTAAATTAAAACTATTTGCTGTTTTCATTACAATATTTTTTCAAAATTAATTTTCAATTTTGAGGGAGGACACAGTTGAACCCAGGACCTTGACACTGAGCTACATCCTCACCCCTTTATTTTTTGAGACAGGATCTTGATAAATTACTTGATAAATTGTTCAGCCTGACTTGTGAGCTTCCTGTCTCGGTTGGCCTCCCAGAGCACTGGGATTGCAGACATGCTTGCCACCGCGCAGGTTTACCATTTTGTGTGTAGTGCTGGGGCTGGAAGCTCACGCACACGACTCTCGCACTGTCCACCCCACCACGAAAAGGCAAAGCTGACTTCCACTTACTGGACTCTGTCCCTGTATGTGCTCAGCAAACCAACTCAAGAGGCAGTTTACCTGCCCTGCCACTCTCTAGTTAGCCCGAGTGGGAGTGGTAGACGGCGCACACACAGGTCCCTCCCCTCTGACTAACCTAGCAGGAATCTAGGCCAGTACTTTTGGGGAAGCCACTGGCAGACTGGCTTATTAAGAGAATGTTAGGACCAGGAGACAGCTCAGCAACTTAAGCGCCTACCTGGCAAGTGCAAGGTCCTGAGCTCAATCCGCGATACCAAAAGGAATTTTAAAAGAACTTATCTGAAAATGTATTTTAAGTTTCTCCACAAACCAGGCCTGGGGTCGTACCCCTGAAAACTCAGCACTGAGGAAGATGAGGCTAACGGGTGGCCATGAATTCACAGCCAGCCTGGACTATATAGCAAGACCCTGTCTCCAAAAGGACCTCCCTCAAAAAAATTCTCCACAAGGCTAATCTCATATAAGATGTTAGATTTAGAAAATTATCAAAAAAAGAAAGAAAATTATCAGTTGGTTCACATGTAGAATAGGCCTTCCATGCGTATGGACTAAAACAAGCATGGATTAAAATATTTGAAAAAAATGTATTGCCAGGACTGAACATCAAAGCTTTTTTCCTTGTCCTTCCTCCCCAGACGATACCATATAACAACTATTTTTTTAAATTTTTTTTATTTGTGTGTGTGTGTGTGTGTGTGTGTGTGGCCAGCTCAGCCCACCAGGGGGCGGGGCTGGCTGGCATGTGGTGCTGGGGGATTGAACCGCAGTCCCTTGCTTAGCTTGTTCTAAGTAGGTGCTTTAGACCACTGAGCCATCTCACCAGCCCCCATATAACAACTATTTACTTAGCATTTTCCTTGTAACTGGTGTCCAAGCATCTTGAACCAGTGGCGCAAGCTTATAATCCAGCACTTGGGGGAGGGAGATAGCTCAGTGGCATAAGCGCTTGCCAGGCAAGCACAAGGTCCTGAGTTTGACCCCCGTTTCCCACCCCACACAAAAATCCAGCACTGTAGAAGGCCGAGGCAAGAATTGAAGGCTGAGTCCAACCTGGGTGACTTAGTGATTTGAACCTGTCTCAAAATAAACTAGGAGCTGGGGAAGTGGCTCAGTAGAATAAGCGCTTCCCTGGCAAGCACGAGGGCCTGAGTTCAATCTCCGGTTCCACAAAAAAAGAAAAATTAATAAATAAATAAACTAAATTAAATTTTTTAAAAAGAATATGGGGGGCTGAGAGATGGCTCAGTGGTCTAAAGCACCTACTTAGAACAAGCTTAGCAAAGCACAAGGACCGCGGTTCAATCCCCCAACACCACATGCCAGCCAGCCCCGCCCCCTGGTGGGCTGAGCTGGCCACACACACACACACACACAAATAAATAAATAAAATTTAAAGAAAAAGAATATGGGGGTGGTGGTGAGATAACTCAGCAGTCTAAAGCACCTGCTTAGGCAAGCATAGCGACCGTGGTTCAAACCCCAGCACCACATGCTGTGCCAGCCCCACTTCCAGGGCGGGCTGAGACACCTGCCCCCGCCAAAAAAAAGAATATGGAATATAGCTTAGTGCAAAGGCTTCTATCTCTAGTACCACTAAGGGCTGTGGCAAGAATTTTAGAATAATTTAAGGTATACAGGAAAGTGTTCTGGATTATATGCAAAAACTATGCTATTTTATATAAAGTCTTTATGCATCCTTGTATCTTAGTTTCTGAGAGTGATCATAGAAAAAGTAGTAAGAGGGCTGGTGAGATGGCTCAGTGGTCTAAAGCACCTACTTAGAACAAGCTAAGCTAAACAAAGCACAGGAACCGTGGTTCAATCCCCCAGCACCACATGCCAGCCAGCCCCGCCCCCTGGTGGGCTGAGCTGGCCACACACACACACACACACACACACAATAAATAAATAAATAAATAAATAAATAAATAATTTTAAAAGAAAAAGTAGTAAGAGATAACTGTACTCATACAGTTTTTTTCATGCATAAATTTTTTTACTGGGAGTGGAGATGCATGCCTGTAATCCTAGCACTGAGGAGGCTGAGGCAGGGGGATCATTGTGGGTTTGAGACAAGCCTAGGCTACAAAGTGAGCTCAAGGCCAGCCTGAACTGTGTGGTGAGACCTTGTGTCAAAAAAATGTTCACTCCAGAGAATGTGTCTGTAGAATTTGGCACATTCTCATCAGACAGGACCTGGCCTGCTCCGTGGTGAATCAGCAAAACAGTGACAAAACCAGTTGTCAAAGGGTATTAGAGGGCTGGCCAAATAGCTCAGCGGATGGATTAAAAGCGTCTGCAAGCAAGCAAGGGTCCCAGGGTTCGATCCGTGGGCCTTCGGTGCAGCCAGACTGCAATTGAGACTGGGAATGGTGATGCACGCCTGTAATCCCAGCTCTTGGGAGGCTGTAAACAGGCGGATCACTGTGGGTCTGATCTAGTAGTGAGACCCTGAACACACTGTACACCCTTCCCTAAAAAAAAGGGAGGGGACATTAGCATAGAGGATAGGGGGAGCTGCACAACATGGGATTTTTTTTTTTTTTAATCTGGAGACAGGGTCTCTCTACACCGTTCAGGCTGGCCTTGAGCTGACTTTTGTAGCCCTGGCTGATCTCCACTTGCTGCAATCCTCCAGTCTCAACCTCCCCAGTGCTGGGATTGCAGGCATGCACCACCACACCTGGTTCACAAAGGGAGCTGTTAATCACACCTGCAGTACAGAAGTACAGGCTTGAGTGAAAGAGCTGGGGGTTGCACATAGAATCCTCATCCTCATGCATGGCAGGTAAATGCACTTCTATTGAGCCACATGTTTTTAAAATAAAACATCAGCCAGACATGGTGGTACATGCCAGTAATCCCAGCACTTGGGAGGCTGAGGCAGGAGGAGCATTGCAAGTTCAAGACCAGCCTGGGCCACAAAGTGAGCTCAAGAGCCTGGGAGATAGCTCAGTAGATAAGCGCTTGCCAGGCATATGCAAGGGCCTGAGTTCAATCCCTGGTTCTGACAAAAAAATAAAAAGAAAACAAAGTGAGCTCAATGCCAGCTTAAATTGTATATGGAGGCTGGCCAAATGGCTCAGCAGATTAAAGCGCCTGTTTAGGCAGACACAGTAGCCAGGGTTCAATCCCCAGCATGCTGGGCCAGTGCCCATGTTCCTGTAACTCCA